AGACTAACTGGGTTTTCTATTAAATATTGATGGTCAAACTTGGTCAACACTAACGAAAAAAATAGTTCAGGACATAAATGTCATATTGAATAGTTTAGGACAAAAGTGACTTTTTGATAGTTCACGTTTCCTAGTTGTATTTTCCCAAATTTAAAAGTAAAATACAAATAAAAGCTCTTACCGCTTTCATAGTCAATCTGCTCTTCATCGTCTTCTTTATCATCAATCATACACACGTTTGAATCGGGATATCTTATCCAATACTTAGCACAAATCAACGCCGCCAGAATGTTGGTATTCAAAGATGACCCCAATGGACTAAGAACTCATCCTATTCGCCATTTGAGCTCTAAAACGGTACATATTTTGCAACTTAATGACGCATTGACTTTAAACTGATTTTTTTATAAGAATGATATAGTATTCATTTTTTGTGATTAATATACTATTTAAATTATTCGAACATGAGACCTCCAGGTTCTATGCTATATTGATATTACCATTAGACTAAACCCTTGTTCGTCACTTTAAACTGAATTTGTGTGGATGTGTTGGGCGGAGATTATCAATGGTATCCAAAAATCACCATGATGGGAATGAGGATTAGAAAAACTTCCACTTGTATGGAGACGGGCGTGTTAAGATTAGAAATAAAAAATGAAATGCAAACAAGTTAAAAAAGATATTGACCCAAACCCCGCTGCCATCCCCATGTACGTGGACTGTTGTGATGCCCGCAACAGAGGATGATATTTTCCATCACATATTTTTGGGCTCCTAAAATATATCAAACTCCCAACGCCACATCAAGTAGGTCGAGAGAATACAAAGGAAAAAAGTCAGTAAGGTATGTGCTCTCTTTTAAGGTGGTCTGCTTAGAGGTGAGAATCTATTTGGTTAAACCGGTTCATTTTTCAGGTTAACCAGATTGCATTTTGATCAAGGTTGTCAAACCGTGGGTTGATCCGGATCCGGTCGATCTAGTGGGTCAAGAGTTAACGGGTCACTCGTTTTAGCACGTTTTAGTCCGGACATATAGAAAGAGTTATTATATTGTACTTATCCTCATTAATTATATCAAATCTCATCTAACATATGAGTAATAACATGTCGTACTTAGATCCAACATATAGTGAAAATTCACACACTTATATAACATCAATATTCAAATGTTCAACTAAGGATTTCAAAGATTGAGTTAGACGAAAAGAAAAATCAGAAAACAGGCGCAGTTCGCAAACCAAAGAAAAAAAATGACACAATTTAACCTCCAACCTGATACGACGATACCTTGTAGCGGTCGACCCGGCAGGTGCGTACGATCCGATTTTCTCATCGGGTTAGGGTCAAAGTGGGTACCCGCGGGTTGACAACCTTGATTTTGATCAAAATAGTGCCCGTAAATCAGACCAAGTGCTAATATGTGGTTACGACAGTGATTTATAGGCTCAAGATAGATTGCATAATCTTAGCGTGCATAACTATGAGTAACCAAATCTGGACCCTTCTCTTAAGTGGTTGTAGATCTAAGTGTGGAGAATTAAAGGAATTTATTTTCCCTAGTTTTCTTAATCGGACCACATCTTCTTCATTCTAACTCGAATTTCAAAAAAAAAATTTGCATAGATGGAACGAGTTTGTTGTGTTCAACAAAATGAGATCCATTTTCAATATTTTTTTAGAAAGAAAATTCATACCTCTCCGTACCATATGGTATCTCCTTCGTTTTTTAGTCGTTTTTGAAAATTTTTGCACAGAAGGAACGATTTAATCATGATATATTGGATTTCAAAAATTTATGGGTGAAAAAATTCTATACCTCTCGTTACCACCTCCATACCATACTATACAACCCTGGTACGGGGTTGTATTTTGTATCATATGTTATGCTCTTATTTAATATCAGTCAATACCTTATGGTATAGACTGGTAATAACTGGCTCAAATGTTTTTGTTCTAAAAAAAATCAAAGTGGGTATAATTTTGAAGAGCATAATTAATCCGATTTAAATGTGCAAAAAAAAATTAATTCCGACTTAAAACGAGTGAGAAATCGTCCGTTAAAGATTAAAAGAGGAAAAATTAAAAGCATTTTTAAGAGAGAGAATGAGCGCTAATGTGGCGGATTCTGATTGGGTTATGCATAGAATTATTGACCACAAGGTTATTGACAGGATCCGCTGCCCATGTATAAAGACTAGATAATGTGTTTAGGTTGGCTTTCGGCACTAGTTTTTTATTTTTTTTACGAAAACAATTCATCGGAGACAGTAAATAGGAACTAAATAAAGAAGAAGAGCTTGGATTAGTGTAAAAAACCATATAGTTTGTAGCACTAAAAGACCATAATGGGTGGGGGAGATTCATAGAGAAGTGATCCAATGACCATCTTTGTATAGGGGTTTGGGGAGATAACTGACCGGAATTTTTGGGATGGCGCGGATTTCTAGACTGTAGTTATTGCACTTTTCAAATCTTCTACGAATTTTCAACGGACAATGTTTCATTCATTTTATTTGGATTTCAATAGTTATTTTACAAAAAAAAAATATTCAAATTTTTTTGTGCTATACAAGATGATATCAATTTTGATATTTTTTAACAAAAAATTAGGTCATCATACCATTGTGATATTATGATATTACCACTGACAGTGTTATGGTATTGTAGTGGTATGGTGTTGATATGATAGTGTATGATGTTGATATCATAGTAATATGATGTTGATACGAGGTCTTATGTTCGACAAAATAATTTATGACAAAATATTACTGTCATATCATAATATTATCACAATGATATAGTAATAATATCATGATATAATAGTGATATGATGTTGGTATGAAGTCTTATGTTTGAGAAAATAATTTGATGAAATCATGATAACTTCTCCTCTTACTTTGAATCAGTGAGTCTAATTATCATCACTTGATCTATGGAGGCTAATGTAGTGACAATGAAGGATGTGATAGTCAATGAGATAAATGACCATTTGATGTGTTTGAATATCATATTGTGTGATCTATGCAATTATTTCTGATTATGCAACAAGAGTTTTCTGTTTTCAAAAGATTTAAAATGGGTGACCTGTATCTTTAGAAAAATGCAAAAAAAATTGACCCATCAAGACATTATTTCGAAAATTCGTCATGGTATGTTGAAAAATAAATGGTGGGGTAAGCCTAACGTGTGAGACATCTTTTTATTACACTAAATTTGGATTTTGGAAAGATACTGCTTGAGCTTTGACGGGGTAGTCCTACAAGGTGATGCTAATACCCCCTTAATTTCATTGATCCTGCACACGAGTTGAGGTTAAGTAACTTCTAAGTTCTTGCTCGAATAGTAAGGGTAAAGTTTAAAAGAGCTCTCCACCATGAGAAAATTCAGAAAAAGATAAAATAGTTGGTTGATGGAGAAAAAAGTTTGAAAATCCTAAAAAGAGTATGACTTTGAGAAAGGCAGAGTGCTTTAAGGAATGTCAAAGTCATGGTAGAAAGCATTCAAAACTTTACCCTCATGTTTTGAGACTTTGATGCCTGATTTGGTTGTTAATATGTGGGTTATATGGTATGATATCCTTGCATATTGACATAGCTAGGAGTCTCTCTTGCTATTGTTAACCTTGTAAGTTGTTGATGATCCACTACCTAAGAACGAGGGTGAGTGAGTGGCTAGGGTTCAATGAGTTGTATGTGTTATAAGCGCACTGCTACGGATCGGGAAATCGCCGGAATCGATAAAGCAAGAATACGAAAGAGAGAATCAAAAAGCACATACACATTATTTACGTGGTTCACTAACACGATGTGTGTTAGCTAGTACACGGGCTAGAGAGAGCCAGTTTCACTATATCGAGGAGATTACAGATTACAAAAGAGTATGAGAAGTATTTATAGTACTTCTCCATTTGGGTCTAAACCTAATCCAATATGGCAAAGGAAACGGTTACAGACCCCCGACTAATCAGAGAAGATTAGCGAGAGCCCCGACTAATCCAGTCATAGCGGCTGATAGTCCGATTCAAGTCACATCAGCAGTATGATTATGAGTAGTGTTTGCCTTGAGACAAGCAAAGTCCAAGTTTGGGTATTTCTTATGACACTTTATTTATAGTTTTTTTTTCACTCTCATTCTTGATACATTTCCCCCTTCTATTGAAGCATCTTTAGTCATTTCAATGGTATTTCTTGTCAAAATCACAACCATTTTATCAATGAACTTATAATAGACCTAGGCAATGTTCTTGAACTATTTGATGCCTTCTTGGTATACTTTTGATGGTTTTGAAGGCACAAAGAAACCTAAGGAAGGTTGGATCAAGAATTGAAGAACTCTAGATGACCAAATTAGTTATAAAGAGAAGTTTAAGGAGTTTTCACAAGAAAGAAGTGGTCTATTGACATAGAAGCCAACTACAAGTTGCTAAAATATGTGACGACGAGCCCATAGGAGGAAGAATCGGTCCATTCTGAAGAAGGAATGAGCAACGGCCCAAGCAACTGGTCTAGTTTGTAATTTTTGTCCACTATATTTGTAATGATTGTATGTCTAAAAAACAACCGGGTTGACTTTGGGACGATGCTCCTTTAACAGGGAGGGAGCCTCAAAAATCAACCTGATTGTTTTTCCATTTTTTATAGTTTGTATTGTTTGTCAGTCTATTTTGTATTGTTTGTATAGTTCGTATGTTTTGTATTGTTTATAAATATGTTTGTATGTTTTGTCGCTCTAATTTGTTCTATTTGTATGGTTTGTACTGTTTGTAAATCCAGTTTGTATACTTCATAATTTTTCATAATACCCAAACTACCTATGTCACTAATTAAAAATCTCTTCCCACTTCCCACTTTTTAACCGTTAAATTGATGTATCCATATTTAAGAACTAAAAAAGGATCTTTATCAAAAAAAAAAAAAAGAACTAAAAAGGATCAGCCAAGTGATTAACTAGTCGCTAATCATGGGATCCGCCCTCCTAATTTATAGTTGAATTTGAGTTTTCAATGTCATATTTTGTTTCACAGCAAGCAACCACCAAGGCGGCGGATGCTGGCGAGGGAGGCTGGCGAGGGCAGCAGAGTGTCACCTGCCGGTGGCATAGATTTCCATTTCCAAGCTAAAAATCAGAACTTTCCTGGGTGTGCATTTATCTGTTTGACATTATGTACAGTGGAAACAGTGGGAGAGAGTGACTGCAGTAAGCCAAAGGAGGCTATCGATCGACTCTTAAAAAAAATCTGCATCATAGACCTCCCCTCCCTCTATTCCATCTTAGATCATAGCAAATTACATGTTCCTATTTCTTGTCTATATCAATCAATAATCAGTTCCATCTCTTGGAATTCTTCGATCCTTTCGACTTCTGCTTTGCAGCTTGAAACGCCTGCACCTTCTGCTTCTTCCGTGCCTCCTTCTCAGCCTGTCGATCCAAAAACGTAAAAATGCTTCAATCTCATTTCTCGATGTGATAGAGTCTAGTCTTATTGAAGTTGTTAGCATTGCTGGCTAGAGATAGTAAAGATAACAGTAATGCTACTTACCTTTGACATCTTCGATTTCGCCTTCACTTTGGGAGCTTTATCCTCAAGCATTGCCTCACGTTCCAGCTCTTTCTCCCTTGCTTCAAGATTCTTCTCCAAGTAATACTGTAGGGAAGTGGAAATGACATATCATAGACCGATCTTAAAGCTCTCAAGCTTGGTACCAACATACAATATAATTAACAAAACCATATGATAAGAAGAGCCAAGAGAGGTCGACTTACATTATAATCGCCTACATAATCCTGTAACTTGCAGTCTCTAACTTCAATCACTCTGTTAACAATTTGCTTGATGAAGTAACGATCGTGAGAAACAGTGATGACTGTGCCAGTGTATTCTGATATGGCATCCTGTAGAAACAGTTCATTACAAATCGCTGTCGATGATAAAAGCTTAGCAAAGCAGTGGATATAATAAAAAAACAACTGCATAAGAACCCAAACCTCGAGCATTTCTTTGGAAGGTATATCCAGGTGATTGGTTGGTTCGTCCAGAACTAGCAAAGTTGAAGGCTTTACCATGAACTTACAGAACGCCAGGCGAGCCTGAGAACCAAGGAACAAAAAGACTTATCAAGAAGTCCAAGCACACACAGGATCAATTAGGAAAGATGTCACTTGATTTTGGGTCAAACGAATCGGTCAATAGACTTTGATTTTTGGCACACAAATTGCAGAAAGTTTTGATCCTGTGTTCTCAGGCTAACATAAAAATCACTCAGTTTGGTTTTCCGTCCAAGTGTCCGTATCAGTGTGTTAACTCGTCAAAATTAATAACAGAGGCAACATAAATCCTTTGCAGATGTAGGGTAAGGGGAAAATAAGGAATTAGGTTGACTTAGGATCATGTGGGTTCTATTAGATAAGAGTAACAAGTGTGGTCAAGATCGAGTCTATGTTAGCTAATAACTCTTATGTCAGCTATTGCAAATTAACACATTGGATTACCACGGAGTATCAATCCAAGTACACGGGGAAGCAAATATTAATCATTCCATATTCTGCTTACCTTCTCACCGCCGCTCAAAAGAGAAACCTTCCTGTCAAGCATATCAGCCTTGAAGTTACAACGCCCAAGGAGACCCTTTATATCATCAACTCTCCAATCCTCTGCCACTTCTGCCACTGTATCAAGCACCGACTTATCCAGATCAAGAGCTTCGGCCTAACCAAAAAATATAAAGTTACAGGATAGTACCAAACATGAACCAGTAACGACTATGTAGTGCAGTCTTAATGCTGTGAACAACAAACCTGATTCTGCTCGAAATAATTTGGAAGCACATTGTGCTCCCCTAGTTCGATTTCGCCTCCTGTTGGTTTCTCCATCCCCATTATCAGTCTCAGCAAGGTACTTTTCCCACATCCATTTGGTCCAACGATGGCAATTTTCTCTCCTCTCTCTATGGAAAGGTTTGTTTTTTTGAACAGCGTCTGTTTCAGATAGCACACCAGAAGCAGCCTTATATTAGAATACATTCACGGAACAGAAAGTCTTTTTTGTAGCATTGTGGTACCTCACCTGATCTCCATAACGGAAGTCGAGATTCTTGATATCAGCAACGGACCTCCCACTTCTTCCACGCTCCGGGAAACTGATCCTCATTTGTTTACGCTGAAATGGCTTTTCTATTTGATCCTCTTCCTGAAGTCTTTCTAATTTCTGTTATCAGCAAAAGTAGAACAAAAACACAACTTAACACCCAGAGGTACCTCAATTTACCGATTCATGACTGTCCTGAAATTCATCGATGCAAATTCTGAAAGAAAGAAAGAAAGAAAGAAAGAAAGAGGGTTTCCAGATCATATTCTACCTTCTCAGCAGTAGAAGCCCGGCCAGAATTCACGCCTGCACCCAACCTGCTGATTAGTTCCCTTGCCTGCTCAATTTCCTTCTGCTGCTTCTCCCATGCAGCATACTGAGATTCAACCCATGCCGCCTTTGATATGATGTATTGAGAATAGTTTCCTTCGAATGTCCGAGACACACCCATTTCAGTTTCCACGATTTTGGTACACAGTTGATCCAGAAAGGCCCTGTCGTGAGATATGAGGACCATTGGCACATCTTGTTTCTGCAGATAACCTTCAAGCCATTCGATCGTGTCGAGGTCAAGATGATTTGTAGGTTCATCCAGCAGCAACAAATCAGGTTCCTGGAATCGTTACATATAGGTGAAGACTTAAATATCATTTAGCTTTATTGCCATACATAAACAAGTCCAAAACACAGTCAACCATAACATTCGAAGGCTCCTCTAAACCTTCCAACTAAGAATAAAAGCACAGACTAAAACTTAGTAAAACAACTGTACCTGCAACAAAATCTTGCCAAGGGACATCCTCATCTGCCATCCACCACTAAAAGAGGCCACCAATCTATCACCATCCTCAGCTGAGAACCCAAGCTCTGGCATCAACTTACTAACTTTAGCATCAACCTCATCAGAATCCACAGCTTGAGCTCTCCTCTGCAACAAATCGAATTCATCCAACAACCTCCCCATCAACTCCAAGTCGTCCACAGACCCTTCAATCGCCTTCTGCACCTTCTCCAGCTTCCCTTTAATCTCCATCTGCTCCTTGAACGCGCTCTGAAACTCCTCCCTGACAGTCCTCCTCAACGACACCTCGAACTCCTGGCTCAAGAATGCAATTTTCATGTTGGGTTTCGCCTTAATCACATTCCCACTATCCTGCTCTTCCTGCCCTGTAATAATCCTCAACTGGGTCGTTTTCCCGGCGCCATTTACGCCGACCAAACCAACTTTCTCCCCTCTTTTCACCTCCCAGCTCACATCTTTCAATACCGTGACGCCTTTGTAGCTCTTGGTTATGTTCTCCAACTTCACCCCCGACGAAATCCCGGAAGCTCCTGAAGTATTGCTCCCTTGCTTGCCGCCCCGTTTCTTGTCGGATTCTCCGGAGGAATTGGTGGAGAATAAAGACTCGATGTCTTCTGCTTTGGACTCGTCCACTGATGCTTCCACCGTAGCGGTGGATAACCTGGCAGTGAGCTTGGAAACCCGTCTGGTGGAGAGTTTGATAGAACTGGGAATGGCGGTTCGAATTGGTCTCTGGAGCTTGAAACTGGGCGGGAGGGGGCATTTCGGGGAGTCGAAAATTGGGGAGCCGGTGAGGAAAGTGGACTGCAGGTCTAGGCGGTGGAGCTTGGCGGAGAGAGCCATGTTAGTATCCCGGGAAAATTTAGCTTCACAACGAAGGTAATGGTGAAGAGGATAATTTAAGCTAGGGATGAGAGAAATGTGAAAGGCTGGCTGTTTGGTTCCTGAGAAAATCCTTTCTCTCATCCCATGGAAGAAGAATTTCTCCACAAGGTTTTGTGGTGAGAGACTCAGCGCCGCAAACTAATACAAAGATCAGAAATAAATGCAGTAACAAAAAATTCCCATTGTTCAAAAAAAAAAACAAAAAATTCCCAATTTATTAATTTTCCTGTTCATTTAATATTGACAAAATTGTTTTCCAAATTCTTTATTGAAATTTATGAATTTTCCCTGTGGCCGTAAAAGCAGATAATGGCAGTGGCAAAATATATTTTTGTTGTGGCACAGAATTCTTCTGCAATATTTTCTCTCGATGTTCAGGCTTCTCACAGTTGGACACGTGTCATATACAAGAGGCAAAGGAAGGCTCCACGTGTCAGGAGCCCACAACCACAATAAATATTTTCACCCCAATTTTTACAAAAATTGCAGAAAGTCAGACAAAGGCATCCTGAATAAGTCTCCCCTCCATTTCTGCAGCTATGAAATTCACACACAGCATAAAGAAAACCAGAGTTTTTATCAGTTAACATCACAGTATGCAAGTAAAACTAATTTTTTCCCTCTTGGCTTCGATCAAAACTGATTACAACAGAGTAAGCTTTTCATATGGGTAAGCAGTTGGAATCCTGATTCTAGTGTGTTTCAGAACTGTGAATTGCTGAGGAAAGTGACCATGCATCTGGTGCTCTGAAACATCTTATCTATCTTCTGCCAAGCTGCTGCCTGAATCTCCAGCAGCTTCTTCGCCTTATCCTGTAGGCTCGCCTGCCGCCTAACAGTCTCGCCGTGAATCTGATGATATCATATATATAACAACAACAAAAGAGGGTTAACCATCTCTGAAAAAAAATGAAGAGAGCCCAATTGGGACTGGTAGTTTGATGAGGTTTGTACTACCTTGAGGAATAATCTGATGAGAGCCTGGATGAACTCGAAGTTGTTGCGACTGGATATCTCATGGATGAAATAATCGAAGAGGAGTTGTATTGCGACGAGCTCAGGCTTCGTTTCTACATCATCCTGATCATCATCGCCATCGTCCTCATCGTTGTCATCGATTATCTGAAGCATCCGAAGCTCCATGTCCAGGTTCGATGGGGAGAGCCCTTTCATGTAGTTGGTGAATGCTGAAACTGCAGAAACCGAAATCGCAGAACGATTATAGGAAACTAAAACTTCTAGCCCATGTTGTTCAAGTGACGGAAAGGGCTGAGAGACGGGACACATACAGTTGTTCGCCTCTACACACGAATGTAGAAGCTCGGTAAACTTGGACACTGGTATTAATGGTGTCTCATATTTTCCTTTGTTTTTCGTCTTTCTGGCTTCATCAATATCCATACCATCATCGTCTTTGGCTGGTTCACTAGGTTTGAACAGAATGTCTCCAGAGAGAGATGGAACTGATGGCAGGAAAAACGGAGCCTTTTCAGGTTTCTTGGGGGGTTCGATTGGTTTATTGCGCACCTGAATAAAATCAATAGAACAGGCTGAAAGTTCAAATCATCTGAAACACAGAAGCTGCCGTCACTAGAAAAACTGAAAGAGAATATACCTTTATGATGTCTAGGTTGATCAAGCTCTGCCATTGGCTCTTAGGCAACAATGAGAGCGTTACAAGGCCAGGGATTTGTTCCTGAGTGAAAGTTGACAGACCAGATGCCTCACTAGGTACTGACTGGTTGTTGGCATTAGACCCACCGTGATCATCCTCATGAGAATCTTCCGTCGCAGAGATAGATGGCAATTTCACACTCATAACCTCCTTTCCACTAGCGTAAGAATCTACAGATGAGCTTCGAGAGAACATCGACTGGTTCACCCTGCAAATGTTGTAAAGCCGAAAGATGAAAACTTATCCTTGGCCTCCAGGAATTCAAAATCCAAACAAGTTTACTCAATCAAAATCCTGAGTCACTAAACAAGTTTCCTCAATCAAACATAGCTTGATTCTATACAAAGACTATTTTCCATAGAATCTTATGCTTTCCCTAGAGAAATCAACGAACACATCAGATAGAATCTATAGCTGTTAAATGACAACATATGGAAAACTGTAGCTACTCTACATGATCTGCAGAATCTTACGCTTCCTGTCCCTGCAATTCGATTCTACATAGAATTTATGGTTTGACTTGTCTACATTGGAAAAGATGAGAACTTACCAAAGATAGACACCATTTTGCTCAGCATGAGTAGTGGCTAAAACATCCATGTTTGGAGACAAAGACAAAGCTGTGATGGCCACGTCTACATGTACTGCATCGATTTGTCTTGCTAAGATGACATCCCATATTCGTAGTGTGCCATCCATACTACACGACAAAAGCCATTTCCCATCTTCACTGAAACACAAGTCTGTAATTCGATCTGTGTGGCCTTGAAATTTGCGAACCATTCTCAATGCCACGACATCAAAAACTCGGACGACCAAATCGTCCGCAACAGTAGCCAGAAGACCTGGAAATGTGCCAAAACCAAGTTGATCAGATGCTATGTTTGAATCAACCAATAAGGAGCATATTAGAGAAGTTATCCATAGGAGCAAATGGCAGAAACTGAGTGTGCATGTAAGAAAAATATTAACGAAAAAAGAAAATTAACAAATAAAGTGATCATTGATCAATTATGAAATATGATTAAGTAGTCCTCTGATTTGTTAACTTTTTTAGAGTGTAGATGACATTCTCAAAATAATTGAGGTGTATAAGAAGAAAATAATGATCCTAACAGGTGCCAACCAATTGAATAACATCGAGCTTAGAGTATAAATATCGACAAAACAGAAAGAGAGACAAGTATAGAAAGATGCCATTACCGTTGTATCGATGATAGATAGCCTTAACTAGACAACAGCCAACTTCCAATCGGGATTTTAATTCACGCCGTTTAAAATCCCAAACCTGCAAAGCAACCCTTCAAAGAATAAAACTACGGCAGATCTAGATAACAGGTACATCACAAGCTTGAGCCTGTTATTTTCTGGAGAGAAAAAACTAGGTAGCAAATAAATTGGGTATTTTATTGTCAAAGTATATTGGGTAATTTTGTACAGATAAAATAGCAGCAGTGTTCTCAAGAAAGTCATTTACATGAAGAAACCATTCAACATGTCCTGGAACAAGTTATCATTCATAAGATACAGATGACAACATCAAGGAGTTAGTCAAGTTGGCCAAGATAGGAGCTAAATCAAAAGTGTTATAAGAAAACTGACCTTTATGTCTCCATGATACCCTGCACTTATCATTAGGGTGTTTGTTGAATCACAAGCAACTCCTACTACTTCCCCTTTGTGGGCACCATTTCTTTCTGAGGTATCAAGGTAACTACCTCGGCTATGTCCTGATTGAAGGTTAAATCGTTCTATCCAACCACCGGCCGTCCCCAGAACTGCGAAATTGCCGCATGCACTAATGGCACAGGCCTGATGCCAAAAAAAAGAGTTGATATCAAGATTCAGGACTACTGAATGTTAGATTGCAACATTTCTTTTTGTCGTTTCTTTTTTCTTTTCATTGTACAATTTGCTTCTATTGACAAGTTCTCCAACACACCTCCAACAGGTCAAATCAAACGAAGCCATAGAAACCAAACAAATAGAAAGAAAGAATATATTTCATACGCTAGGAAATTGGTATAAACTAATGCTTGTTTTATTGCAGGTAACCCTTTAAAAGTCAACCAAGTCCAGTATCTCCAGTTTCACACTGAACAGTAAATCGTTTAGGTATGGATTTGATGCACCCCAACAGAAACAACTCAAAGTAACATTTTGGTTTATGCATAAATGAAAGTGATGAAAGGAAAACCCGAACGATGGGACTCTAAAACAAGAAATTAACTCTAACCTTTACAGGTGTTGGATTCTGTGCACACGGTCTCAAGATATGCTTGCCAAGAACGAAATTCTGAAGCCTCCATATATACGCCTCCGATGTGTCCATATGGCAGGTAACAACATTGCACCAATCACGCTCCCTAATTTCAGCTACATCAAAATGAATGGCACAACATATATCATGAGATACACAGAACAGATATAAAAGTCTTAAAAAATTATAATGTTTTGAACTGAATTCGTACCACAATCAAATGCAATAACAGGCTTCAACTTCAGCTCCTCTTCCTGGGGGAGAGGGGAAAAAGAAACTCAGCACCAAATCTCTACTAAAAAAGCTAGACTAGCACTTTTGCACGGATTAAGGGATAGCCAACATGAATGGTTAAACTATGGGATCAACCCTTGTCTAGTAGTAGATAACTGCTACATACAAAACTTGGAATCTATTGTATCACTTCTACAACTAGATCTTCAACTCATGCTAAACATACAATGTCAGGATATGAGTCATCCTCTAGTTTAGTATCAGGTAAAAGATGCTTGAACCAATAAGTGGTAAACGAGAGCAGCAAAGATATTTCATTCGGGAAAACTTCAGCCATTTGCTAAACATTTCCATCAAATACACTAGAAATGTTCTGGATTTTTTTTCAAAGAAAACAAGCTGACGCTTCTGTATAATAAAAATAGAAGCACAATACCTTGTTTGAAGCATAAATGAGTAAATTTCAGGGCAAACACCAGTGCGTGAAGGGGAAAAGACAAACAGCGGCAATGATAGCCTAAAAGTATATTCCAAATCTTTTATCTCATCTGTCCTAGACAAAAATGAGGGTGGTGTTTTTACACGAACATACCTTTAGTTTGAGTTTCTTGGCACGTTTTGATATATGATGCTGTGACAGCTCTCTGCTTTGTTGATCCTGGATACAGTGCATATGATAAGTAAATTGAGTAACGCAATCCACAAGCAATGCTGAATTCCGGTATACATCATACAGACTACAGAGAAGTTATTGTTCTTTCCCTAGTTCCCTTTTTGAGGAAAGAAAGGGGACAAGAGGTAGACTTAATGCAGTGATAACATAATTTGGAGAATACATTTTGTTCATCGTCATTATTTTCGAGGAAAAACACACCTAAACACAGCTGTATCAGACCCATGAAAGTGACATGCAACATACAGTTGTGGCGACAGTGGAAAGGGCCACATCAGAATCAGAAGTAAGAAAGCAGTCGAACAGCAGAGACACAAAGCATTAGTATGAAACTCTGTACAATAATTACTCAACCAGGAATGGAACTTCGCATGTGTCATTTGAACTGTCCATAACACAAGAAATTTCATCGCATGGGCCAAACCTGAATAACGGAGAAGAGCCGAAATGCACGATCCTGACCAGCAGAGAGAATGTGTCTCCCATTTGCATAGAACCTATTACAATTTTGAAGCAAGATAGATAAACTATGTCATGCCATGGAATAAATATAGATGAAATCGTAGAAGTTGCTGGAAAGTAAACTGCAAGGTCGGAACAGACCCATAAGAGCTACATATGTTGCACAAACCTGAGAGTACTAGGAGAAAAAAGACAGAATTGTCCATAGAATGATTCTACAAATTGTAAACATATGTATTTTTACAAACTATTGATTGATTCCATTTCAATTCCATATCTATCTTTTTTAGGACATTGTGAACTGGTAGTTCGAATCCGTAAGACTACAAGAAACAGTAGGGTTGCCAACTGACATGAATCATGGATAGGCATCCTACCTTATGCAAAGTGGAGGAGCACTGTGTCCACTTCGAAAACGTAGCAGGCGAGGCTCCCCGTCACTTGTGTCAAAAATCCACATCTATTGGCAAGCAAAGGGAAGAGAACTATGTTTTAACACCCCATTGGGGGAAAGGGATAACAAATTACCAGTGGACCACTACAACCTCATCTAAATGCATCCAGTAAGATATAATTTATATCAGAACTGAAAACATCTCGAGTATTAGATATCGTACTTCCAATAACATGGTGATTCAGGCAGAGTTGACGCTAACTTTATTTTGAGCAGAAACAAAAAAAAAAACATTTCAGAGATTTGATTAAACATAATTAGAACAAAAGTCAAGTTATCATATTTTGTATAAAGAGATGTAGACAACCCAATACCAAGTAGAGGAAAGCTGAAGACATTCTAATTAGGTAACTCCGCACAACTGAAGACATAACAAAGCAAGGGAAGAACATGTGTAAATGACACTTCCTTCAAATTTCAAGCCAACAAAACAAGCTAAGCAAAAAATGGATATACAGATTGCAGCAATTAGCTTCACATTTATAAAATATGGCATACATGGTTAATTGCTGCTTATTCAGAAAACCAGCAGAGCTAGTTTTTTTATACCTTGATGGAGTTATCTGCTGCTGCACTCATTAGCACAGGTTCATTGGCAAAAAAATGCAAAGAGACAATTGAACTGTCATGAGCCTCTCCAATTACTGACTGGAGCCTTCTTTTCTCAAGATTCCATACGCTAATAACACCAGATGAACCTCCAGATGCCAAAAGTGGCTGTCCATCTATTGGTAGAAAAAACAGTATGTCAAAGCAAACTCCGGATACAGTTAATAAGATCTTAGATATAAGTGAGGAGCACCAAATAGACTGTTTATGAAAATCTGAGTGAGAGAAGGAATCCCTCACACAAGTCCTTGATTCTTTGTAAAACCCCATCAAATGCATAACAAGGAGTAATAAGAACACTGAAAGGTAGGAGATCAGTTACTTAAAAGGATTATCTCAAGTGTCTAAACTAAAGAAAGTTCAATTGTTACCCCTCTGTTACACAAAGAACAAGCTCATAGATATTTATATGCCACCATCTGATCAGCCAGCTTCAACCTTTTACCTGTACTGAATGACAAGGCTGTCACTGCACCTCGGCTAGAATGAGTAAAAGTGACCAACTCTTCATCATATCGAATATTATGTACATGAATCTTCCCATCAGCACAACCCACAGCAACAACATCTAGTGCTGGTGATGACACACAACTGGTAATTGATGACTTCCACCCCTTAAAGTCATAAAGTTTTTTCTTTGTACTGATGTTCCACAGCTGCATTGAACCTTCCTGGCTCCCAAACACTATCTGATAACACAATTACCAATAAGAAACATTCTCAAACAAAAACATAAAAGCTAGGACTTCATATAATAGACCGACTATCACCTTATTCAGATAAGTTTCTGGATGCATTATACATGAGGGAGTGAAACCATCATCCAACTTGATGTGTCCAATTGGACCGCGATTGCGTTCGCTACCTTTAAAATCCCATATACACAAATTCCCATTGATATCAACACTTAGGACATGCTCTCCAAATAGCAGCAATCGAGCAATTTTGGCGCTATGTCCGATGCAAGTATCAACCTGCAAATTCGACACCTTTCTGAGTCCAATTAGAATTTAAACTACATGAACAAGATGCATATCACTAGATAATCCTTCACAGATGGATCATTCGTTCCCACTCCACACAAACATATTGAACGTAAAGAAATCAACTTGCCAACTCCCTTCCTAGCTTTGCGATGAAGCCATCGCGCAATCACCCAGCCAATGCGAAAGAAAGAGAACACTGGGGATTCATTTTCAGAACAGAAACTTCACGCATCCATACTGCTCGCTGAATCGACTGCTACTCAGACTCGTGATACTTGACTAACAATCAAGCTGAAAAGCAAAAAAAAAAAAAAACTAACCTGCTGAGCACGATTGAAGACAGCAATGTGGCACCCATACGCAGCGAAAGTGTAGTCCCGATAAGAGGAGAGAGCACGAATCTTGCTAGGAAGTTGAGGGCTGACGAGGACCAAAGTGAGCTTAGAGCAGTTAAAAACCTGGAAAGCCTTTCCTATGCTGACCGTGACGAATGTCTCAGTGCCCAACCGCTGAACAGAGAAGGGCACTTCACTCGTTATGTACCCAATCGCTCTGTACGGCTCGAATATCCCCATCCTTCCCGCAACAACTCAAAAGAGTAATTTCCAAAGCGGAATACTGCCCCAAAAAACAACAATAATGAACGTCTGAGTTAGTCTCACCAAAATGAAACCACTCACTGGAACCGACTGAAGCATTCAAGCTGCGAATTAGGGCATAAAGATTCAAGCTTACCTTGAAGAGAAGCGATTATAGAAGAAAGACGGGGGGTCAAGTTAGGAGAAGGGGCGAATTAGGGGAGGAAGCTAGCTGCGAGACGGTGCAGAGATAAAGAAGAAGCGAGGGAGTTCAGTCACAGAGGGTAATGATTTTTGAACGTCGGGAAGTGGGGAAAGGATTGGATTTTGAGAGGCGCTACGACAGCGGCTGAAGAAGAAAGACGGAGGACGGCGGAGCGCGGGCAAGGGTTTTGGGTTTTAGAAATTAGACGTCGTCTGCACTGCCATTTTCGCCCTCCTTTTCTCTTCTTTCATTCCTTGTGGGCTTGAAGTTTTAAATGATTAGTTATGAATTATGATGATAAAAAAAGGATGGCTAATTATCGTCCTAATCGCCCTAACTTAAAATTAAGATTTTACCTCTTTGTCCCTCCTTTTTTATTATTAAGAAAATACTTTATGCTAACACATACATTTGATTTTACCCAAAGAAAACTAATTCACGTTAACTGCCATCACAACCCGGCCCCGCCGACACCATTACCTGCTGCAACAAACACTACCCACCTCCGGCCGCCATTAAAAAGGCGTCAAAAGCACCATTCCCGTCGAAGCATACTCCTAAGACAGAAGAAGGACGTAGAATCCTAATTTTTGTACATGGATTTGTAATGAAACTAAAACGTGCATTTACTGGGGAAGAGAATTTGTTTTTCACAAAGCCATTTACAATTTTTTATACAGAGTTGCCGGGGATGGAATAGTCAAGCTAAGAGGATGGATGGATGATTATATCTCCTCTGAATACTGAATGATTTAGAAAAGGGATGGCTTGCCGCTTTAGGAAGGATGGTTGGATTATTAACGGTCGGCAGCGGTGGTCGTTTGGAGCCTTGTGTGTTTCTATTCTATTAATTAATTCTTTTCTAATATTTCATGGATGAACCCTACAATCTAGTTGAGCCTTCTCAAAGTACGGATACAATCAAAGCAAAAATATAAAATAACTAGCATATGCTGCTAGCGTTGCAATCAAATTCTTGGTGACGTTTCTCATACTGCGTCAATTGGCTCCAAATAATATATGTAGAAGTAATTTGGTTAATAAATGAGGATAATAATGTCATTCTATTATAATTAGTAAATACTTGTAGAATTCATTTGCAAATTCCATCTCAATTCCTCGGAATTGCTATAACTAGTTCCAATTCCGTAGAATTCAAAATTTAGAATTGCAAATGAATTCTTTTAAATACCAAACACAAAAAGATTTCATTTCAAAATGAATTCCTCAAAACTTATGAAATTCATTTATAGCAAACAGTATGTTACCGTTTTCTTTTAGATACATTAGCGTGTTTAGGTTAGTATCAACATATTACTGAAAACGGACATGTTATTATAATTTTATCATGAATTCTCGCAAGCAGTGAAGTAACTTTTTTTGTCCTACGTTTGTTGTTCTTTTTAATGGTTTATGTTTGCCATAGATAGTGTATTACAAGAATGTATGATTAAAATCGTATGTTCATTAGTAACTTGTGTTTTGTAAGAATACATTGTATTGAAAATGTAAGAAATGCATGCATTTTAGGTTATATGTATACAAGGATTCTACTCCTGAATTATTATATATTGAGAATCAATAATTTATTATGAATAAAAGGATTCTAGTTCTATTTGTACCAAAAAGTTATGTGTTACCGGATAATGCATGTATCTCGAGAATCAACAGCTATCAATGCATTCTTACGGGTGAAAGTCTGGTAATTATTGCTTATACAATTGCTCCACAAGCCAAATGTAGTCTTATTTCAATTGTAGGAACCAACCTTTAAGTCCAAAAACAATATGTTTATAATCATTAGTGACATGAGTTTTTTAGTCTAAGTGGTCAAACTCACTCTCCCATACACGGTAGCCAGCTCGTTTCCTTGGCCTCCATGGTCAGCACTCCTCTCTCTCTCTTGGTAAGAAATATGGCACTATAAAATCTAAATCTAGAAACAAGATAGACTTAGTAGCTAGCCAACAAGGTACCAAGCCCGCAAGGCAGGACTGATACAAGAATATGAAAATTGGCGAAGTATGGAGCCAACAAGGTATCAGGCCGGGAAGGCAAGGCTTGGTACCTCGACATGAAAATTGACTTAGTATGGAATCAACAGGGTACCAGGCCGGGAAGGCATGCTTGGTACCTCGGCATGAAATTTGGTTAGCCGGCTGGGTACCAAGGCGCCATGGACCATCCTCATAGCCTCAAGACTAAGTAATTAAGTATGGTGGGGGCTGGTCAGCCAGGATGCCAAGCTAAGAGGTTATCAACTGGATGATGACACTTGGTAGGGGGGCCATATGGAGACTCAGTCCCAATACAGACTTGGTGGCCCCAAACGGGGTACCAAGCCGACAGGGTGGTAAGGTACCAACTTGATGAGATTCCAAAAAACTAAATATGGAGACTAAGCCAACTGAACTGGCTTGGTAGCCGGGGCCGGTGACTGGTTCGGTAGCACACGGGTATCAAGTCGGAGAGGTTAAGACTTCGTCATGGAGAAAGGCAAAGAGCTTCAACCTCATCTAGTCAACAGGACTCAACACCAACCCTACCTGGCATCGAGACCATCAAGTACAAACTAGTCTTTAAGGGCGGGCAAGAGGCCCCAAGGGGATAAGAGTCAACAACAAGGCGACGGTTACCCATTGGTCTCCAAGGTGTCGACAAGGGGGTCCCTAAGGCGGTTGGAGCAATAAGCCAACAAGCAGTTGTCAAGATGGTTACCAAGGTAGTTACACCTAGTGGCTATAAATAGAAGAAACTAAGAATGTAAAAGGGTTCTGGAACGAAACACTTGATACACAATGTCAAGGTTTATCCTTTCTCTGCAAATTAGTCGTACCTTTTAGTTTTTGGAGCTCTCACTAAACCTCCATAGGAGTAGGAGTAATTAACGCAGCTTGTTCGCAAAAAAAACCATAAAAAAAACATCAAACACTCTCGTTCGAACTTGTTCAGAGAGGTGTGAACTGTGTTTAGAATTGTTGTTCAATAAGTCAAGGTGCATTTATTGAAATCAACACCATATGGGCCTGTTTACTTTCATTTCTGTTTCCTGTTTTTGAGAAAACAGATGTTGAAAACAACATTTTGTTGTTTCCGAAAACAGCAGGAAGTTGCCACTTTCTGTTTTCATAGTTGGAAACGAATAGAAAACAGAATGAAAAGCAAACAAGTTTTCTCATTTCGGTTGCCAAATTTATCACATGAAAACAGAAAACTGAAAACGAAAATGAAAGTGAACAGGGCCATAGTTTTCCTTGCCTGAAAACACCAGGTGAATTTGCTTATATTGCACTCTTGAAATTACGATTACAAGAGGTTGATTACTCCATAAAAGGTGAAACCAAAAAAAGTAATAGAAACTCCAATGTCCGGAAGAACAACCCATGTCGAAAGGAAGGTCACAAGAACGAGCAAGGAAGATTGAACCAAAACCAACAACAAAGAACCATTATAGTTGCTAAATAGAGTGAATCAAAATCCTCTCGCTTCCACAACCAAGAGAGCAGCAACCAAACAAGTTTTCAACTCTCCCGAAAAAGACAAAACATTGGCGTTTGGATATGCGACACTATAAGTTGCCATTTGAGGATCGTTTGAAGACGAATCATCATAGTGAATCACAAGGTTGAGATTACTCGACGATGGGCAAGGTTGAAACCGGGATGCTCAGAGCTAAAGATGGTCGAGGAAAGTGGAAGCAAGATGGACTAGTTCACTGTGAGATGAAGAACACCAAGATAGTATCCAAAGAAAACTGGAGCAGTCACCAAAGACAAACGGAAATGAAACTGTTACCCAAAACAGATAGTCGAAGAGCAGGCAGAGGTGCTCACCGAAGGACGACGAAAGAGGAAATCGATGAATGTGTTCATCTGAGAAGAAGAACCCACCAATATGGCATACAACGTTGGCCATCGTGGAGTTCATGTCGAGTTAAACTCACGGTGTGCACATTACCCTATTGCTATCTCTGAAGCTTTGATATTTGATTTTAGTCCCATGGCTAAATAATAAAATTCCCAGAATGTTGTGAGAATCAGTAGGAGGATCAAAACTTGTCTCAAGGACTCAAACTAGCCCTACTACAAACTCTTTGATTTGCATCTTTTGTGAAAAAGATCGTTTTATTGACAAATAAACAAGTACATATTACAAACGAATGAACCCTAGTCAAGCCAAACAAGTTGGCCCTTTGAACTTAATTCGAAACAAAGTTACAACTTCCCAATCCTTAATTCACCCAGCACACTCACACACTGGGAATTAAGGAACTGAAGCAGAAACACAAATGGACCCACAATAGAAGAGACTCTCTACCAACTCTCTTTCTACAGACTGCCAAATTGTAATGTTAGGTCAAATACATTATTTATAGGAGGAAAGGAAATGACCGTTTGCTAAGGATGATGATCATGCCAGTGATCATCATTAGCTTTTGTAGAGGAGGTGACGATCTTGGAGAGGGACGAGAAAAACAGGCTCGAGGAAGGCAAGCTTCGAGGAAGATGTCTCCATTGCGAGAGAGAGAATCGAAAATGGAGATCTATGCACGAGGAGCTTGCGTAGTGGCTGGGTTGTAGCTGAGACTTTGAAGAACGATTCCAAACGACGTCGTTAAGGAAAGATGTTGTGGTTTGCTACAAAACGGCCCCGTTGCAAACTCTTCAGATAGGCATCAACATCTAACAGGTTGTTGCCCTCTTAAAAAAAAATCCAATGCTATAAATGGCTCCAGTTTTTTTTTTTTTTTTATGTGACCACTATTCTACAATTATTTGGTCGATTAATGGTT